CTTTGCACTGTAGTAGGATGAGCTGCTCTGATTTCTCCCCAGCAAACTGTGGGAGAACTCGTCTGTCCTCTGCGCACAAGGGGAATTGTGTGTAGGCATTGGAGGACTACAGCTCTGGAGTGAGTTAGTCTGTGTCGTCACCGCAAAAGCGGGTGGGTTACCAGCCCAAGTGGAAGTGGCACCCAGGCTCTTACCCATACCACCAGCTAGCCCAGGTTGAAAGCACCACCAAACTTGCGTGTGAGGGTTTTGTGTGTGAATGGAGGTGAGGTAGGAGCAACAGCTGGTTATGAAACCAATTTTAACGCTTTGCAGTGAAGACAAACCCTTAGTTAATCCTTCGCCCATTCAGGCAAAGCATTAGTCATGACTGGAAAGTCTGTCAGCCTCTGCTCTAAAGAGCCTGTTAATCTGCTCAAGTTTCACGAGCGGAGGGACGAGATTTTTGGAATGTTTTTGTTCCACCAGCTGATCTATACCGCCCAACTTTCCTGCACTGTAGGAGTTTGTGGAAGGAAACTGGCAAGCCCTGCTCAATAATCAATTGGTTGATCACACTGGAAGTTGATAACCTCAATTTGCTCAAAGTAACTTCCATACACTTATCTCAGCAGCAGTAGTTAGAATTTTCTGGTTCGTGGTACTTAAGGCAAATACCAAGAATCTCACACAGCCAAAAGGATTTTACAGTTTAAAAAGTCGTGTGTTCCCAGAGGGCTTTACACAGCCAGCTGGGATTTAAATGAACAAAATCATTCAAATTGCCTAGTGCCTTCACTCTGCCGAATGTGCTGGCCAATCTTCTCATTAGTGCACAAATATCATGAGGGCTCCATGAATGCTGCTCTTGGCTATTGACTTTAACAGCAACTGACAGCCAGAAAACTTCAGCACACCTTGCCCACCCCAAACGAAAGGGCTAGGAAAAGCATTGGTTGGAACACAGTTACATGGAATTTATACCAAACTTCAGCTCATGCTTCTACCTGCAGTCTGAAGAACAAGTGAGATGAGCTAATACTTACAAGCCAGGGATGGACAGTGGTGCCCCAAAATTAGGAAGTCCAGACAGCTTACAGAATTCAGTCATGCCAAGAGTCAACATAATGTTTGCTTGAGCTGAGAACTTCAGGACTGTGGGGAAGCATGTTTGACTCCAGAGAAACTCTACTGAATGAACTCTCCAAGAGTTGTGTGTAAACTGTCTACGTTAAACACAAGGCTGCCTGGATACAGCAGTCAGGTGGCACAGTGCTAAATGGCCACCGCACGCTCCTGCATGTTTTACAGTGTAGTCTTTAATAAGTTGAGTTACACACTGAACAAGGAAAACAGGACTAGAAAATACTACAAATACTATTGCCAAAATTGCAATAAGTTGGGACATGCAAATATTTCAGCTTTTGGTGAAAACCTTCATCCTGTTACTTTTATTTGCATTTACTTTCTGATGAAGGAAAACAGGCTATTCAGAAAGCAGGCATGAAACCGTGGATTCTCTGAACACACCTGCAAGCTTAAACAGATGGGAATATGTGTAGGGCGTAACTCCCAAAGCCATTTACTGAGCATCTTCAGTAGGTTGCTTTGAAATGTTCTCAGCAGTTAACTGAAAGGTAGTTTATTCAAGCTTAGGAAAGCGCACATTCCTCACTGAGGGCTGGCTACATGCCAGCTTGCAAAGTTCAGCCACTTTTGCTGTAAACAGGTTAAAGGAGTTAGAATGTTTTTACAGTTGGATGAATGCGCCTCCTTTCCCATAACTCAGGAGGGTGGATGGATCCCGTCTTTTTCCTTGAGACGTCCCCAAAATAATTACTCTTTGGGCAGAGCTCAGCCACAGAAAGTTTCACTCTAAAAGGTGAATGTTTGGAAAGTTCTGAGTGCCTGAAACATGAGGGGCCAGGGAAGCGAGGCAAGAAAATGGTTAATTATAATGCTTGCTACTGGCAAAGGGACCAAAGGAAGGAATGCAATATTGCTATACTATTTTGCACTTCTATATGGACTTGGACAGTGATTGAGGATCCCAGTGAGCTTTAGAATGTTTAGGTAATTAATTATATGGATCTCAAAGCTCTCCAGTGGCTTCAAAGGTCCAGCAAACAGTAGGTCAGAGTTCCAAGATGGAGTATTCTACTCTGGTTAAATAACTTGGTAATTATACATGGAAAGGGTCTCCTGCCTGCGTGTGCAAAACACAAACATACACACACTCCCTCCCTCCCTTTCACTGAATTAAGACCTAAAGGTTGTGTTGCCTGTCTACATCTCCCACTGATAGCTAAACTACTGCTGTAACTATTTAACAATTGGAGCGGGCTTTCCTGCTCTGGAAAGGAGACAGGCCCAGCCATGCCAGATGTGGAAGGGAGATGAGACGGAATCCAGAAGAGAATCTACTTGTCCAGCTGGGGAGCAAAGCGTGAAAGCTGCAAACACAAGTGAGCGAAGGGAAAGGTGACTGAGTGTGGATAGCTGCCTTTCCCTGAGGCCAGACTCCCAACAGACGGCAAGTAGGGTGTGACCATATTTTCCCAAAAGGAAAATGGGACACCCCAGGCTGCCCCTCCCCCCCCCCCCCACCACACACGTCGCG